GGGCGGCGGAGGCGGCAGGCCCGGGCGACTCGGGCCGAAGAACGGCGGCAGAGCCATGTTCACAACCGGGACGCTCCGAGAAGTGACAGGAACCCGCGTTCCCGGGCACGCCTTCCGGGAGGAAGTGACGTCCTGGGTTATGCGACGCCAGCCCACACGCCTTGCGGTAAAGCCTGGGGCATGGGTGGGCCTTCCACCTCCACTCCGATACAGTTGTTAAGCACTGAGGTGGAGCTACCTTTCTCATAAAACAAGGATCAGTACTCGTGCAAGCTGCTGTAGGAGTGCAGGTATTTACTTAGAGAGGTTGGGGAAGGTTGTCCTAATGATCTGAGGCTTCTGTTGGGCTCCGAAGAATAAATAGGGACTGGATAGAAGAGAGAGAAGCACAGTCCAGATGGGAACGTTTGTGCAAAGTCTTCCCTAGGAAAAAGAAGGACTTTGGAGTCGCGAGTGGAGGGGGGGGGGGGCTAGTGATCGTGCAAGGTGAGCAAGACTCGAAATGTCTAGGATCTCATCTTTTTTTTTTTCTTTTTCCTTTTATGACGTGTTTGGTATCGCCAGAGGGTGTGTATGCTTGTCAGAGAGAGAGAAAGGCACCGCCCCCAATGGGGCATGGTCAGGCTGCAGTCCCTTTTTCCACCTTTTCTCCATCCCATCCTCTGGGCATGTGACCACCTTTGATGTTTTTCAAGCTTCAGGGGGCCAGGACTAGAACACAGTTGGCCACATGGGATTTAGTTCCCTATGCCTTGTGCATAACTACTATGCTATGGTGTCCCCAGAATTTCATCTTTTTGTCTGTCTCTCTGTCTGGCAAGGGCACTAACTCTATGGAAAAGTCCCCCCCCCAAAAAAAAAAAAAAAAAGAACAACGGGCAACCATTGGTCTTAAGCAGAAGGTGAAGGGAAGGCCGTGGCACATGATAAAATGTTTTAGATTACACTATTTTGAGATAATTGTAGATTCATATGCAGTTGTAAAAAGTACTACAAGGATGGCCAGCAAGTGGCATGGAGGTTCAGGTGCTGGTTCCCACATGGCCTACTCCACAGTTTGAGTCCTGTATCTGGCAGCTTGAAAATCACTCTGGGGCACGTGTGTGTGCTCAAGATCCTGAGAGGAGAATGGAGGACAAGGGATTACAGTATGGCCATCCTCCCGAGGTGTGATTTCTCTCTTGCGTGCACGTGAGCACACACACCCTATAGCAAAGAAACTAAAAACACAAGAGAGAAGATCCTGTGTGCCTTCTACCCGGTTTCTCCTAATGGTGACATCTTGCAGAATTGTATTACACTGTCACAACTAGAATACTGACATTAACACAGTCAACACCAAACATTTCATTTGCCCTTTTATACTCAGACTCGACGTCTTTTCCTTAACCTACCTTCTCCTTAACTCCTGACAGCTAATCTGTCCTCCTCTACTTCTGTAGATTTTATCTTTTTGAGAATGGTATTTAGGGCCTGCCCTGTAGCTCAGTGGTTAAAGGAGCCAGATCCTACATGGCTAACTGGTTTAAAGCCCATCCCTGTAGGATTTAAAAACACACTGGGTGCCATGTGTGTTAGTTCCCAAAATCCTGATGGAAATGAGAAATGGGGAAAAAAGAATTGTAGCATGACCACAACCCATTGGGAGACGCTTTCTCTTTCTTGTGAGAAAACACCTCCCCTGGCAGTAGGGGGAAAAAAATGAAAAGGAATGTTATATAAATGGAATCATATAGTATATAATCTTTTAGGATTTGTATTTTCACTCAGTCCTCTGGAGAGTTACCCAAGTTGTTCCTTTTTATTCCTTTTATTGCTAAATAGTATTCCACCATAGGGATGTACCACACTCGTTTAACCATTTGCCTGCTGTAAGATTTTGGGGTTGTTTCCAGTTTGGTGTTATGCTGACTAAAGCTGCTATAAACATTTGTATACAAGACTTTAGTGAACACAGATCTTCATTTTTCTGGGATAAATGCTGAGAAAGTGTAGTTGCTGGGTTATATGGTAGTTGCATACTTAGTCTTTAAAGGAAATTTCAAATTATTTTCCAAAGTAGGTGTCCAATTTTGCATTCCACCCAGCAACCTATGAGTGTTCTGATTTGTCTGCATTCTCACCAGCATTTCGTATCATTACAACTTAATTATTTTTTAAAAGTTTGCCATATGGCACATACACTAGCCAAAGAGCCGAGGAGAAAGGGAGAGGGAGAGCAACCCTGAGTGGGTCTTGATCACATTGCAATTCCTTCTCCCTTTCCCCATCCTGTTGGATTTTAGGCACCTGTGCACATGTACCCTGGCATGTTTCTTAGCCCTCTAGAACTAGGATTCACATTGTATGGTTGGCCATGTACGATCCAGCTCCCTTAGTCACTAGGCCATTGGGGCTGGCTCACGATTTCTTTCACATACCCTGATAATGTACAGTGATATCTATTTTTAAAATATGCACTTTCTTAATGACTATGTTGAACATGTCATATGCTTGCCATGATAAAGTCTCCTCATACACTCATGTCTTTTGCCAATTTTCTAATTAGAATGCTTGTTTTTTCCCTGAGAGTTCTTTGCACAATCTAGCTACTAGTCCTTTGTCTAATATGTGATTTGCAAGTGTTTTCTACCAGTCTCGCACTTACTAGGATTCTTCTTTTTGCAGAGCAAAAGTTTACTTTTATTTATTTTTTTTAATAAAGAAAGACTTTTGCTATAGGACGCATGTGCTTGCTGGAGAGACAGAAAGCGAGAAATCACCCCTCAGGGGGTTAGCCATGCCACAATCTCTTCTCCTCTATTCTCCCTGGGATTTCGGATACATGCCTGGCAAGAGCTTTAAGCTGCCAGGTCCAGGACTTGAACCTCAGTTTACTGTAGTCCAACAATGTAACCATTATGCTGGTCTTGAGCAAAAGTTCTTAATTTTGATTAAGCTCAACTTTTTTTTATAGAATTATTAATTTCATTTATTGTTATTTTAAAATTTGGTACAAGGCTACATGTGCTCACCAGAGAGAGACAGAGGGGAAGTAAGAAAGCAAGCTGCTAGGTCTGGGATTCAAACCATGGTCAGCCATGTAGGAGTCCAGTGCCTTAATCATACCACCTGCTGGCCCCAAATCGAGCTTTTAAGTTTTTTCTTTTTCTGGATTATGTTTTTGGTGGCAAGTCTAATTAAACTCTGCTTATCCCTAAATCCTGAAGATTTTCTCCTGTGTTTAATCTTAATGTTTTATAGGTTTACATTTAAGTCTGTGAACCATTTTGACCTAGTTTTTGTGTAAGATGTGAGACTTAGGTCTATGGGAGTTCTTCCTTTCTCTTCCTCTCACTCCTCCCCTTTATCTTTTCTTTTTCCTTTTATCTTACTTATTTCCTCCAAAAGAAAGAGAGCTCCAACAGAGGCCCTATGCCATAATCTACTCTCAGTTCAGTTTCAGCCAGCCTGGATAACAGGCACAAGTGCACTCAGAGGGCTCAGGGAGGCTCTGGGCGGTAAACCCAGCACCTCTTCCATGAGCTGTGTTCCCACTGTGCCACCACCTGGCTCTACCTTCCTCTTTATTGTCCATGGATGTCCAATTGCTCCAAAGACAGTTTTCTTGTCTTTTTCTTTTTTTTTTTTAATTTGTTAGAAGGTGTATGCCCTTGTTTGGAGAGAAACAGAAAGAGAGGGAGGGAGAGAAAGTAACAAAGCACACCCGATGGTGGATGGTCACGCTGCAGTCTCTTCTCCATTTCTCCTTTCAAGATTTTGGGCATGTGTGCATCTATGCCTGTCATGGTCTTCAAGCCACTGGGTCTGAGCCTCACACTTACAGTTGGCCATGTCAAATCCAACTGCAATCACCATGCCACTGGTTGGCCTCATAATTTACTTTTCAAATTTTTGTTACTCTCAGTAAAGGAACTACGTGATGGTTATGCCCCGTTTCTTATTTTCATCAAACCTTAATTTCATTTATTTATTTATTTTTAAATTTGCTATTGGGCATGTGCACTTGCCTGAGAGGAGAAAGAGAGAGAGAGGGAACACCCCTGAGGGAATGTGGCCATGCTGCAATCCTTTCTCCTCTATTCTCCTCTTGGGATTTTTGGGCATATACACATATGTGTTTGGTGTTTTTTTAAGGCTGCCAGGTCTAGGACTTGAACTGTGTAGTGGGCCATGTGGGATCCAGACAACTTAACCACCATGCCACCAGTTGACCCCATCAAACATTTAACCATTTCCTATGCCAAGAGTTTAGGACAGAAATGAATTAGAATGGTTCTTGAAGAGCAATGACCTCTTGAGTCATACCATAAAAACCAAAGAGTCTGGCCCCACTTCCCAAGGGACCTCTCAAAGTTCTCCAAAACTCTCAGTTCTAAAAAATATTTCAAGT